AGTTGGACTAATATAAATAGCCGACGTATCAGAGCCGAGTTAGTTTAATATAGAACATTGTATTGAAAAGTTAAAGTGTAAGAAATAAATTGTAAATAGTGTGTTTTTAAATAGATAAACTAAAAATAAATTAGACTTTCGTCACAATACCTTTTCAATCTCTTGTTTTTAGGTCTCTATTATTTAATTTTTTTTTAAAACTTTGTTGATATTTTTTTCTTTTTCCAAGTACCTAGTTGAGAAAGAAAGTTATAACTTCATCAATCTTTTTTCCATTTTTTAATATTATCTAAAATTTAACATAAGAAAATGGAATGAAAGTCAAACTTAGATATCCAAGATATTCACAAAATTCTTTGACAATTTCTTGGTAAAATAGGACACACTTAGGTCTTCAACAATACTCATAGCCTATGACTAGATTGATGTCATCAGTTTTCTAAAAGTAAGATTAATAACTTCAGTAGTAACCCTAAAACAATGTCACTAACATATTTGACAGAACTGATACTTAGAAGCAGTGGCGGCTCGTGGGCACTAGCGGCAGTGGGGCACACACTGGAAAGGAATCCTGGGATTGGTTTTTCCCTTAGGAAAACAAGTTCTCCGCTTAATGAAAATTAAATATATTTCAAAACAATCAGTTGGGGCAATAACGATTTCTGAATGTGACTACTCAAAATGCATTTAACTATGTATGTGGCTATTTAATCAAAAAATCATTACATATCCACTCTTGCGAAATTTGTGTAATTTCTCAGAATGCAATTTACTTAACAATTCTAACTTGTTAACGCATTTTAAAGCATACGACTCTGAAGAAAAGGTGTTTGTTTGGCAATTTAAAATCTCCCAGCGAAAAATTTCTTTTATATTTTCAAATTAGAAAAAATATTTATATCTCTATTTGATAGTTTGTCAACTAAGTCTAGAATTTCCAACGTATACCTTTTTGAGATAAGCAAAATAGAATTTGGTCATCCCTGCCAACAATTTGCGAAAATGTACACCATTAAATTATTTATATGACTCAGAATTTTTCATACTCTTAAATATGCAAACAGAGATTTGAAATCCTCGAAAAAGTCAGACAAAACCAAAAGAAAAATTAAAATTTTGTCCCATTTATAAATATTATTGATTTTTTTTTTCATCATATTTTTGACTGCTTTATAAAAAAAAGTTATTTTTCTTTGTAGTTTTATTTCTTAACTATTTCAATGGTCCAACTAACGTTTTTTCGTAATCGCAATAAATAAATTATTATCATGGTCCAACAAACGCGCACCTTAAGCCGAAACCGGCATCGCCTTTTGTGAGGGAACCAGTAAAGATGCCGCTGCGTACATTCGTATCTGGTCTAAGTGATCTGTGCCATGGGTACAGCACGCCACGATAAGGACAGCGCCCCGCTTGTGACGTATAATCCATCGCATGTTTCATCTCTTGCTAAGCGATATTGTCGTTGTCCTTTTTTTTTTCGAATCATATTGAGAGAGAAAACTTAATTTCGGAATTCTCGGAACGTCGTCCAGTGTCGTGCCAACGCGATTTGCGCTGAATATTAGATAAAATAATAATAGGCATTGAGGAAAATGTAAAATATGAAAGTTATTTTTTTTTGTTTATTATACTAGGGCACGTGCCCAAGTGCCCTTATGGGCAAACCGCCACTGCTTAGAATGTTTAATGGTTAAAGTTGAAAAACATCCTTGACTTGAAACCAAAATAAATTTCTCCTAATTTTAATAATTTTATCTATCCTGAAATTATTCAAATTTTCAATAGCAGAATTGTATGCAGAAATATTAAATGATTTCTGCATCTGTATAACATAATTGTGCCTATTCTTTTTAAATGTCAACACATTTTAAAAAAATATATAATTACAGGGTGTTGTTCTGAGTTAAGCTATTTTTTTATACAATGTGTACCAAAGTTTGTAATATTAAAAATTTCCAATAAGTACAATAAGTAAATAGAAATCACTTAAAAATAAGTGCAATGATTTGATCTTAAGCATATTTTTTAATTCCTATTGACATTTTAATTAATATTTTGCTCTAGGTAGATATCTGGTTTAAAAGTATTTTACTTTTCATTATAAAATCACTATTTTAATTTTCCCTGTATACTTACCACCTATATTTTACAAAATTTAATGCTTAATTATGAATCCTCAAGTGATGCAGAACCAACTGAAGAACTTTTTATCAAAAATATTTTTTTTTGTGAAATATAATATAAAACTTTTTCCTATTTGTATAAAAGTTTTTGGGACACCCTGTATATAAAAAGCCAGACCTGGACTATGTTTTATTAAGTTGTTGGCACTACAGTCGACTCAAAATAAAAAAGTGAGGTCGCTAAGTATATGAATAAGATTGGTTATAATGACGAAAAACTACTATACTAATCTATTCATTCTTAATTTAGCCCTTATTTATTGCAAACATTCAGATTATTTTACAATAGACAGACAGAGCTGTCCCATCGGCTGCCACATTAGAAAGAGAGAGACAGCTGATAATTTGAGTGGGGATGGTTTGTGCTAATTTATTTATTCTGACTGATGTCACACTTCAGACTAAATAGAGTTCTTTCCTGGAATTCAACTAAGATAGTTGCAAGGAGAAAAATACATTAAACTAATAATAACTGGCACCAAGAATGCAAATATACTTCCTTAATGTAATTTTGAAAGCCTTTTGAGAGTTGTAAGGGTATATTTTATAAAAATTTAGTTTTTAAGCCTAAGTTATATTATTTATAATTTTGTATTATTTGGTTAACATTATAATGAATCTAGTAATGATTAAATGTCAAATATATACTGTTTCTTATTTTTAATGCTGCATTGAGCTTACTTTCAATTCACTTTTAGGTATATTATATCATTGCCATGTCTATTTTAACTATGGTTGGTTATAACACAAAATAAATTCAATGGAATATCGAATAGAGATTTGGGTTGCAATTTAAATGTCATAGTTATAAATTAGTACCCAGAGTTAATTTTAACCAAATTTTTACAGAATGGACCCCATAGAACCTTATGTTAAGTAAATTCTTTTATATAACAATAAACAATCCTTTTAAGACTCTCCCATAGTCTCTCATAATAATTTAACAACTATGTGCACAACACTGTGAATCTTTGTGATTCCATTTTTGTAAACAAAATTAATCTAGTAGTTGTTTCTTGTTGGTTATACAGAATCTGAGGCGCATTAAATATTATTCATAGTGGTTTGTAGTAAACAATACTTTTAAATTCAGGGATTTAATACTGTAGGTATATGTATGTTACATGTGGAGGGTGGATTAACCAACCCACGGCCCTTCACTAGGTCCATTGTGCATAATACTGTAGATATTAACCAATTAAATAATTGTTCTTGTTATTTCTGGAGTGTTTATTGTTAATTGAAAGCATTATTTTAATATTAATAAAATCTGAAGAAAAAATTACAAAATTATCATTAATTTTAAGTATTTACATCAATTTCAATAAAAGTTTATTTTTTATATTTTATTTTTGCTTTTTTAGTTTATTAATTTTATTATCATATTTATTTATGCTTGTTCAATATTCATATTCAGAATGATTTGCTTAGTTAGCTTTAAAAATAAGTTAAAATCAATAGCATAGGTATTTGAAAATATCACCTTATTACAGTAGGTAGGTATGCCTATAAAATGTAAGAAAAATCTATCTAGGTACAAGTATTAGGTATTGAATCAACAATTTTGTGACAATGGCCCATATTTTACTTTTAAATCATATACCTTGTAGGTATTTGATGTTTTTATAAAATATTATTGTTAATACCTCGGTTAATACTTATAGGTATTATATAAATAAAAATTTTCTTGGATTATTTGATCATTAATTTTATTTTCTATCATTAGCACAGCACTACATATGCTTTGTTTGTTTTGATCTTCAGATGCAGTCAACATTTAAAAAAACACATGAGGGCGATTACAAACAGTTTAAAAGTTTTTAAAATAACAGAAACCCCATCTTTCTGTTTCAGCATGTGAAATGAGTAGGTCAGTAGGTAAGTATTTAAGTATATTGGTATATTTGAATGAAAGTACCTGGACCAAAATAACCCAACAGCAAGTAGGTACCAATTGGATTTTAATTTATAAAGGATACATACACCTACACTATTTTTGCATATTTTTTACAGCATGTCCCCAATACCTCCATAAACATATTAAGTGCTTTTCTAGGAATTTCTACCTGTTTATGTAGACTGTTAAAAATTTTAATTCTATTATTTATTTAAATTCCAAATAATCCAGTGTGATACCTACAAGGTCACAATGTGCTTTCTTATTTACATTCATTCATGGCACAGGTAGTTAAAACCCATTTATTTAGGTCCTTACAAAGCTGTTTAAAAACAATAATGGCAAAAACTTGAAAAAATAAAAATATTGTGGATGTTTGATACTTAAAAAACATTATTGTTCACTTTTACAATCAAATATTTGAATAATGTGCATGCATTTTGGGAAATAAATCAATTTGTCATTGTCAATCATGTTCCCTAATCAAGAAGGTTAGGAAACTTGGAAAAAGAGGGAGAGCTGGAGGGTCGATATTTTGAACCCTTATCACCCCTGAAACACAGAGCTTACCAAACATCGGAAATGATAAGGGAATAAATAAATACACAAAATGTAAATACAAATGTAAATATTAAGCAAATATATTTTGTTCTATATTTTACACACCACTTAAAAATCAAAATAAGCAAGATGGAAAATCAACATCTAAACTGACAGCTCTTTAGGCTGACTCGGAATCCCTTGTTTTCTTCCAATTCCCCACAAACGTTCGAATATAACACTACACATTTTTTCACGGAAAACCCTTGTATATGATTCACTTTATCAGTACAGCTGCATAATACACGATTTACAGTATTTATTACACCCTTTCTATCAAGGACATACACACACAAACTGTCATCAAATCGACTTACCCAAAATTAGGTTAATCTCGCCTTTTTCGCCAGCGGATCACTTTCGGGATATGCCCTAGGTCACTAATGACACTCGGCACATCCATTTTGCACTTTATTATCCAACTTTAGTTTAATATCGACAAACAAATAAACTATTCATTTATTACGCATAGGGCGAAGCCACCGCTTAGAGCACGTACGCGCACTGTCCGTGGAAATCGGACTTTAGGCGATGCGCATGCTCTTTCCCAGCTGATATGCACATAGCGTTGCCACGTTTTAAATTATTTCCCCAGAATGATTACGTGATTACCTGGAATGTACTTTTTCAAAAATTATTGCCAAATTATTAGATTATATTAGATATTGAATACATTTTAAATAGCTACCAAATAATTATAATCGTTCATTAACATTTATGGTCGGGAATTCCATAGGTTAAGTTCATCCATTTCTCTTTCATCAATTCCTTAGGATGACTTTTGGACTCTTATAATGTTCTCATCAAATAAATTAATTGAAATAATTTCACATTTAATATTCGAGGATATTCAATAAGATTTATTTGCGAGCAATTTTGTGGTCAAGAGACACCCGGATTCGAATCCTATGTGAATTTATTTGCAAGGTTCTCTATAGGATTTGATGGATGCCATATTGGCAGAAATTTAATTTCTGTTGATATGACATCCAGATTATAAAAATCGCTATGCGTTACCGTTTCGATGATGGTTGGTGAGGTTTTCCTCACCTGTAAGTCAAATGGCATAATCAATCATCTACGGTAAATAATAATAATTATATACGTCCCTTCCCCTACAAAAATCGCCTTCAGAAGTTGAAATTCACTCATAATGAGGTGAATTAGGGGGAGATTAGTATTATAATAATTGTGTTGAACAATTTGTTTTCACTAATTAAATACATAACAAAATCAGAGAAAAAGTTGGAAGATTTGGCAGCAATGCGTGGCGCCATCATTGAACATTGACTTGACTGGTCAAATGCATGTGTTATTTTTTCGTGCATATGCATGATGTTGGAGATTTTATGATATTTGTATTCGTTTTGTTTACTATTTGAAATACTATTTCCTACATTATTTTCGATTAGTTAAGCATAATTTAATATAATTTTTCGACTTTTTTCAAACAATTGTGTGTACAAAATGGAATATTTTTAATATCGTTATCTTATGAAATTGGATATTTTTCCTAGATCGTTGACTGCAATCCGACGAACCAGGACCGTATTAGAATATTCCTAAAATAATAAATAATTTTTACAAAATTAGTAATGTATTGAGCGTAGACGCCTTTTATAACCCGTTAATTGGAGTATTATTTCATTGTTCAGAAATCAAATTTTTAATAATTTTTTAAAATTTTCTTAAATAAATTAGTTCTTTTGCAAGGGCGGCTCCAGCAGATTTTTTTTTTATGAGGATAGGGGACATGCTGTTGGACACGCTGCTGCTCCTCAACCCAAAGATAAAGACAAGCCATGTAAAACCTATTAGAAAACCTTTTTTAATAAAAGGCTGATTAATTATATGAATTTTAACCTCGGGGTGCCATGTCCCCTTATTTCCTTTTATTCCATTGGCGTAGAATTTTTAAAGGTGCAATTATTTAAAAAATCAAGTTCTACGCCTATGTATTATTATTGGACAAAATTTTAATACCATTTTTTTTGCCACATAAAACTCTACCAATATACCAAATTTCAGCACACAGACACCCTGTATATGTATTCTATTATTTTAACTTTCCTGTACCCAGTAAGAAAATTATAGGTTCCTATTCGACAGATTTTTACGTTTTCGGGGCTCCTAAATCCGTTTTGACAATTTTCGCAATGTTTTTATTCACTAAAATACTGTTCGGGGGGGAGAGGTAGGGGGTAAAGGATTTCTTTTTTTTTTTAATTTAAGATTTCATAGTTATTTATGATAAAAGAAAATTCTTTTAATGTTATTTATGTCATTCTTTATAATTTTGGTCCTACACATGATTTCTGCCATAAAATGGAGAAATTTGAATTTTTCAGTACGTACGTAGGTGATGAAAATATAAAAAAAAACCATTTGAATGATTTTTATTTTTAATTCACATCCAATACTTTACAGGAAAGTCATCATATTTTTATTTTAGACCTCATAGACCACCACCATACATTTTGAATAAAAATCCTTCGAAGACAATAAACTAATGTTTGATCAAAAATATTATTTGTAAAATTAAAATGTTTGTACATTATCTCAAAATCTTTCTAAAGAACAATAATCCGAAATTTAGGCACTGTGATTGATACTCATTGAAAAATAAATGTGACCGAAATTGAAGGAAAAGGATTTAGGTAGGTCTTAATACGAATTATTGTGGTGGAATAAACAAAAAAATAATAGTATAAATATATTTATTTCCGACAAAATAACAAACAGTTATCTAACAATACTAAAAATTTTGACACATAGTTGGTAAAAAAAGAGGAGGATAAAAGTAAGTTTTCCACTGCAAGACAGGTCTTGAATAAAAATAATTGACTTATTGCTAATTTTTATTAGTAATTGAGAAGACTAAGCAGCAAAGTTTACCTGAAACTATCAAATAACGTTATTGTAAGCCATTTCATTATTCAGTCATGCTCTAATACTCCAAGTCCCTCTCTGTATTATTTGGCCTTTGAGGCTCAACTTGTCATGACATTTCCTCATTAGAAAGTAAAGTTGCTTTTGACATTTCTTCATTAGAAACTAAAGTTTCTTCCGACATTTCCTCTTTAGAAAATAAAGTTTCGTCTGATATTTCTTCCTTAGAAGAAAAGGTGTCTTCTGATATGTCTTCCGTGAAAAACGAAATATCTTCTTTAGAAATCAAAGTCTCCTCTGATATCTCTTCTATAAGAAATGAAATGTCTTCTGTCGAGGAGAAAATAATGTCTTCCGTAGAGAAGAAAATAAAAGAAATGGAAAAGAAGATAGAAGAAATGGAACACGTAGACCAAACCAAGAATGATGAAATAAAGTGCCATGAGGTGGAGTCGAAGTTGAAATGAGCTGTAAACTCTCCTCGTGTTAAAGCACCAACTTTTGACGGGAAGATGTCATGGACGAACTACCTTAAGCAGTTCGAAACAGCTGCCAGAGCAAACGAGTGGTCTGAACGAGAGAAGGCAATAAATTTGACCATCGCCCTTCGAGGAGACGCTTTGGATGTCCTTCAGACTATACCCGTGGAAGAGACAGATGATTTTGAGCAACTCAAAAAGAGACTAAATATACGATATGGCCACGAGAACACTTGGAGCATTTATACCAGTCACAATTAAAGAATCGTAAACAGAAACGAGACGAGACTCTTCAAGAATATGAAGTAGATATTGCCAGGTTGGTGCGATTTGCTTATCCATTAGCTCCGGAAAACATGATGGAATGTTTGGCAGTCCAAACATTTGTTGATGGACTTCGTGGCCACGAAATGCAAAGAACACTTCGTCTAGCCCGTCACAAAACATTGGTCGATGTCTTGTCTGCTGCCCTTGAATATGAGGCAGCTGCACAGGCCTCTGGCGGATACAATAAAGTGAGGACCATAAAAGAGGAAGGTAAACTCGATCAACTGGTGAATATGATGAAGAGCCTTACTGACAGAAAGAATAAGACGAAGACTTTCAGGTGCTGGAATTGTGGTGAACTAGGACATGTACGCAGTTCATGCAAACGTCCAAAGGTCACAACGAATCAAGACAACACGCCGCAGGAAAACTAGAGCGGGTCGGCCTAGAGGGGGCAGCTTTGACCCGAAACCGTTCCAAAGACCCTCTCATACTGATAGCCTCTTTGAAATGTCGCGATGATAGTGTATACGTAGACGGCAAAGTAAATGGCAAAAAGTATACACTGTTGGTGGATACTGGAGCAACTTCTCCCAACAAGATTGCGACTACGGACTGCCGCAGGAGAAAGTGCCAACATCCATGGGGAAATCCAGGTTCAGTTGGGAATTGGTACATAAAAGTTCACTCATACTGTTATTGTCGCTGATATCGAAGAAGATGTTATTCTTGGAATGGATGTAATGAACTTACATGGTTTCCAGTTGGGCTTTAAAAACAGAGTGATCAAAGTTGGTGCCGAAGAGGTTTTCCTACATCCATATGGGGCCAGTACCGTGCCAGTTGTTGTACAGGAGGATACGGTGGTACCTGGTAGAAGTGAAACCGTTATAGTAGCACGGCTTCAAGAAACTATGGAAGAAGGAACACCTGTCATTATGGAACCTTGGAACCACGATGAAGAGGTTGGACGAGAAATTCTGATCGGAAAGGGGTTGGTTACGACTGCTAAGGAGATTCCTGTCCGTCTTATAAACGTTAATGATCATCCAATTACCATCAAGAAAGAGACCAGAATCGGAACGTGTGTACCAGTAACTTTCATAATTCGCCAGACAACAACTTCTGATAATTCCAACGACAAATGTGAGCAAATGATTGCAGTTGCTGATCAATCTCTAAATCAATTAGAGAAAAAGAAAATAAAGGAATTTCTTCGACGATATCGTGACATTTTTGTACCAAAAGGAGGAAAAACCGGAAGAACTTCTGTCGTAAAACACAAAATTGACACTGGTGATGCCAGGCCGATTCGTCAATCAGCTCGAAGGTTACCAAAGGCCAAATAATACAGAGAGGGACTTGGAGTATTAGAGCATGACTGAATAATGAAATGGCTCACATTACATTATTTATGTTTTATTTTGAGGAAATATTGATTTGTGTGGTTACAAATATAGTTTTTTAATGCGAGGAGCAAATTTTGGTTTACCAAATAAACCGCTTTTTGGATAAATTTGATCGATATAATCACAAACACCGTACATTGGTATATAATAAGTACATTTAACAGGGAAAAATATTAAAAACCACATTCTAGTGCTTTAACATTAATAATACATGTGTATAACATTTAACTATGGGTTATAACGATTAGACAAATTTTATATATAATATTATAGTCTTATACCAGTACTAGTTAACAATTTTTTTTTTGAGAATTCAACAATATTGGCAATTGTTTTTGTACCTTCTATGGACTAGTTGGGAAAAGTATAGTAAAAATCAATATTTTGATTAATATTTAAAGCAATCAGATAGATTAAAATCCCAACTCTAATATATAGAACTACAACGAATAAAGTCTAAGAACCCAGCAACCGCCAAACCTACGTTATATTATGAACATTATTGTGAACCTAGCAATCAAAATTCCGAACATTACCGAATGATAAGTAGCGTTTTTCAAATAGTCATTTAATTATTAGGTAAAAAATAGAACAAAACCAATTAAATACCTACCGAAATTTGATAATAGGATGTTTCTTTCAAATATTAATTAAAATTGAGCCTTGCCTAACGTAGATTTGGAGTTCGCAGGCTCTCACACTAATAGGAATAGTATATGAGCAAATATCTTGGAATATTTTGTTGTATCGTATATAGACAACAAAAATTCAATTTTTTTTAATAAAATACACTCCTAAAAATACCTTGTATAATAAATTATCTAAGATGAAAATCCCTGGAAATATGACTAAGAATTTTCAAAATACCCCTGCATATAAATTCAATTTTCTATTGTCATTAAGTTAAAAAAATAAAAATAATTTTAAAAAGTCACGAAATTTAAAAATGAGTTTGATTTGATATTCTATTGCAAAATCAGTCTTAATTTTAAAAAACATGGTTTGGCTTTGTGAATTCAAAAAATTGACTGGTCTTCTTTTAAAGTAAATAAAATTAAATATCACATAAAAAAAAGTATACAAAATAGTTACACATGAGCAAAAAAATTTATGGGTGGCCTTTAACCATTTTGTTAAAATATTTTCTAATGTGGAAAACTTGTCACCATCACAGGATTTTTCCAAAAACATTTTGATTGATGAATTTCTTTAATTGTGATGCCTTTATAGTTATGAATAAATATTAATTATACCAAAAAGATCGTTCTTGACATCCTGTGAGTCATTAACATATCACTGAAGAGGTCAATAAGTTTTAAAGACCACCCGCCCACCATTGCATACCTATATTCTATAAATTATTAAAAATAAATCACAACACCCATTTTTGCATAAAAAATGAATATATACGAGGAGTACTACTAAAGTTTATAATTGTGTGAAAAATGGAAATTTTCCACAATCTTTAGCACCGTCCCTCGTACAACTAAAAAATATTTTCTATAATGGTAAAAAAATAATAAAATAAATCACATAAGTAGAATATTCTTAAGCATAACCATCATTTGTCATGACATATCTACTATCGTTTTGTTTCAAAAACTGGTAATTCTTTAGGTGAGCTTTGCATAGCAAAAACAGACCCACAAGCATGATGGGCAGGCCCAAGATGGCACATATGAGTTCTCCAGTTATTGCCGGAGACCAAATAAGAAGTCCTATAAGAATAAAATAATTAGTATTAGAACAAAAGAGAAATAAAATCAGATTCTTTTTTTATTTTATGTTGATAGAAGTAACGTAACAAATAGCTCAAACAAAATTATAATCGTTATTTCTGTTTTAAGAAAATTAGGCTTTTCTTTCTATCTGTATATACTAATAGAGTTCACAAAAAAAAATCATTACTTATAGAGAAAATATTTCAAGAGAAAAGTATAATTATTTATTATTTAAAGCAAAATCTTTTAAAACTTACCAATGGTAGTAGGTGAAGCATGGAATAGAGACCACCAAATACTGACAAAAGGAAGAGAAGTAGACATCGTAGCAATTGTATAAACCGCCGATTGGGTTAAAATTAAAAACTTCATCGACATTACCACAAATAGAATGTAAGAACACATAAATAACCATGAAAACATAAAAACATTACCGCATGGAAATTGCCCACCATGTAAATTGGCCGTGGAGGGTGGTTGTGGTTTTTGAAAATGACAAATTATACCTTTGGTGGTGTGATTCCAGAAATCATTAATGTTTTCATCCTAAAATAGGAAACTCCATTTTACACAATATTCAAGTTGTGTTTTATATTTACATCCACAATTATTATAGGCAAAAGAACTTTCCATTTTTTAAATAAAACAATTTTACACAAAATACAATGTTCTTTTGCTAATCAATACTTACTTTACCAATCTCTGGTATAATATCAGTCCAAAACATCATCAAAGTAAATACAAAACCAAATATATGTATCCACATGGCTAAATGTACTACAGACTGAATTTTTGTCAAATTTTGATTATTATTAGTACTATTTCCAATTAGTTGAGGTGGTGAACAGCTAATAGTGTTAGGAAATGAAACAGATCTCGAGACGGTACTAAGGAATGTTGATGGTATATTAACATTTTGGTCATTCTAAAAGAACAAATATTATATAAATGCAAACAAACCTTATAATCACTTACAGAGTTATTACAAGTCAACACATATCGATCGAGTAAAGTAAAATATGCTGCAAAAATAGCCAATCCTGCAATGTACACTGTAGTCCAAAGTGCATGATTTTCACCATTCCAGGGTCCTGAATCATCAGAAATTTTCTCCCTTTCATAACCTCTGCATCTAAATTCATCGCACAGGCCATAATCTACAGTGATAAAAATACCAACAACTATTGTTGTAGCAGAAAATATTCTTTGAAGACCCATCACTAAAATATTTTACATGGTTAACTCCTTGTTCTAGTTTATATCTACTTAGTTATTACAATAAACTGAAAAACCTCAATGCAAGCTTTGTAAAATTGTATCATACATTTTACAGGAAAAATTAGCTTTTAAATAGTTATTATGACAATACTGTAAATTCCTTTTTTCATTTAAAGATAAATACCCAGCACAGTTAGGTACAATTGGGTCCCAAGCAAATATACTGTCAAAAAATTACATATATACATTCAGTCTCATAATTAATATAGGTACAACTATTGCAAACAAAAAATATTAATTTCCAAATCTTGTGCAAATGAGTAATAAGGACAATTCAATTAATATCAATTTTACAGGAAAGGTACCGAATAGGGGGTTGCTGGGTGGGTAAAACAATATTATTGGAAAGAAAAATTGCTGTACTTTTGATAATAAATAATAGAAAAGTAAACTTTTTGTGACTTGATAATAGTGTAAGACATAGAAGTAGCATATTTGAGCTTTGATTTGAGACATTTATGAAATATTTTCATTTAAAAAATGAATTTATTAGTTACTATTAATTTGTACAAGATATGGAACCACATTTTTTTGTTTACAATACTGATACATAACTACAAGTAGGTAGGCTTAGTTTTTTCATAAACTATATAATGGTTTGAATAATTATTATCTTCAATTTGATAGTTTAAACTTTTTTGATTAGATCAGTTGTACTAAATATATTTGATAACTTTACAAGAAAGTAATCATTATGTACAACAGTGTAATAATAAATAAAAATATTTACTTACATTTTCTACAAAAAAAGAAATAGTACAGCAATGAAAACACCAAGACAATTCCTTTAATTGGATCCTGTAAATGACAAACCACCCTTTTTCTATCTAAAGCGTAAATTATCATAAAAGCACACGAAAAATACAACCCGGATAACTGAACCAATTTCCAAAACTTAACTGGAAAACTAAATACATTGACATTTCGATACTTCTGACAAAACAACTTTGCAATACCCAATGTAACAATAAATAGTATTGTAGAAATAAAAGTATTGGTCAAAATTAATGAATATGCATTCCCATCAACGTTTATAGCATCTAAATAAAGTGGTAACAGAATTAACATGACACTAGTCGAAAAAATAAGTGTTAATTTTGTGGAAATAAATTCTAATTTGGTATGGTTGAAATAAGAAACATTATGATCGCTACTTTCAGCTGGTTTGTCTATAGAAAGGCATTGATCTTCGGTTTCTGAAAGAGAATCATCATCGGTGCATTGCAATAGTTCATCATGATCATCTTCTTCCATCTAAAAAAAATCAATTAATGTCAAGGATAAAATATGATTGATTCGTTATTTGATACAGCGAAGCAATAATACAAAAAGGGAAAAAAGAACTTACTGTTAATAAATTGTTTAAAATACAACACTAAATTGACTTAATTGTTTATAGACAAATATTATTTAAAAACGCAGTTTTTTTTTATTTATAAAGTCTCAATGTCACTTGTATAAGTGTCAAAGTCAAAGCAAAATGTCAGAATGTTGCCAACCGTAATCTAAATAGGCAACACCATTTACATTCAATTTGTATTTTGTATTGTATACCTATTATTTGCTGTCAATATTTTTCTGCACATAGGCGTCGCACTTGTAGGGTAAGTTGGTTAATTAAATAAAACAAATTTTATTCTACTATAATATAAAAATTAATTATTTATTTGAAATATATGGTCCAGATGGTGATGATTAATGTAATAAAAATATACTTTTCAATAATAATGTTGTTTCCACCAGAAGTAGGCCCTTTAACATATTCTTTTAAATGTGCCACTAAATCCATATTGATGATTTCATTGGTATTTTTTGCAAAAATGAAATCTAGATGATTGAAAAGTTTGTATTCAATGAGTCGTTTTTTTACTACGTTCGGTAATTCAGTTGCTAGTCTTTCCACGTCCTAAAATAAACAATTTTTATAATATAATACATTTATTACAATTCTATAGAAATTTTAGGCAATTTTCGTATATAGGGTGTTGGGGTGATCCAAAATATGATGATTTAATGCAAAACTTACCTAAGAAGTAATGGAGGCCCATAAATTTCGAAAAAATGTAATATCTTTGCAATCGTTTAAGTTAAAAAATATTTATTTGGAGGTTAGTAATTAAAGAACTTTAAGGGGTAGTTTGGGTGTAACCCACTCTTATAACCATAGAGAACTTTTTTGTCCATTGACCAATATTTAAAATTTTAGTTTAATATCAAGCTAAATTTAAAATTAAAACTTTTTTGTACTTTTTATTTTTTTTTAAACTTAAGAAAGCTTATAACCGATTGTTTGAGGTACGTACCTGGACAGCTGCAAAGTAGTCATTCTGCGAATAGTACAAAGCAACTGGTGCCGTAATTGCGGATAGTTGAAATGCTGGAGGAGTTACGGATTTGTAATATTTGAGGTTCAACAAAAGACCATGATCGAATCTTCTAAAATAACCTTAAAATAAGAAAACATTACGGATTTTTGTATGATTTAGGATATTGTAAATAAAGGATCATTTATTTATAACAATTTGATTCAATCAAGGTATATTTATGTAATATTGTGACTCATTCTAACTTATTTTAATATTTTTATGAACTGTATTTATTTTTTAAAAATCCGCATCCGTTTTTGGCGTGTGTGAAGACCTTCTTCTCTCTAAGTTAGTAAAATTGTTAATTGCACTATAAACGGATGATTCAGTGCAAGATATTTATAATTGGTAAGTGGAATAGGTACCTACTGGCCTAAAGTGATAATTTTTATTTTGTTTACCTGATCGAATTTCTTGTCCATAATGAAGTAACATTTTTATTGAAATTCCAGCTGGTGCATTTGATGCTAGCACTGGTATCAGCGACTGAAATTATTAAAATAATATTAATTAAAAAGATAGGAATTTGGAGAAATATTCTAGAAAGTGCACCAAGGGTTAAAACATGTCTTGTATTATCTAGAGAATAAATTAAGATGAACATTAAAACATTTGATTTAATGTTTCGTTTAAACTCTATATCATAATTTTACTATTTTAATGTACCACTGTGTATAATTTTCCTCATTGCCTTAATCATACTTACATAGATAATAAAATTAAAACATATAACTCTTTTATTATTTTTTAGCCATTTTGATGTATTCAATAGTAATAAAAGAGAAGCTAACTGCTTGGAAAATTGGTCTTTTCAGACATGTAATAGGTTTTTGAAACCAGCTCCAAAATATTAAAATCTACAGGGTTATACAATTTTATTAAAAACTTTCGTTAACAAGGAGACTACAAAGTAATTATAGACGAAGTTTTGGAACTACCAATAAATTTGCATAGTTTTAGAACATAACTTTTCTTTCTGAATACTTTTTTCGTAAAATCCTGAACTCTATGGAATACGTAACATTTTTATCGTATACTGGATGTTGCCAAATATCATGAATATTACAGAAAATCGCATTTTCACGAACAAAAAACTACTATAGACTATTTTGTATTTTAGAATTTGCCAACAGGGCACCGTAAAAAAGTTTAGGGAAAGAAAAGGGACAATAGCGCATAGCTCTTGAAAATATATAACTAGCGTAACGTAGATTATAAATTTGGGTTAAATATTACAAAAACTACAAGAGTTATAGAGAAAAAACATAAAAATCTTTAAATTTTAAAACCTTTTGTTTTCATATGAATTTTTAATCATGAAACTCTAGAAATATTGATAGACAGGTCTATCAGGGATGAAATACTAAAAATAAATCCGACCCATCCCAACCAATATGCATACCTGCCATGAAAATCAACTGACCCAGCGCTGGATAGTCTAAACAGGCTCCTTTCAAAGTCAATAAAGGACAAAGAAATCGAAATAGCCACTTTTTTTTAATTATCGAAGTAGCTTTCAATAAAGCTTCAACCAGGTCAATAACGAAGGCTCTAGAACAGAAAAATGTCCCAATACTCCCAGTCACAATGTGCAAATGCGTGACTGCCATTTTACCCACTCTGGGAAAGGCAAAAGTTACACAAGACTGTCCACAAGGAGGAATATTATCTCCAATGCCATGGTCAATTCTAGTAGACGACTTACTTAAAACATTGTCCAAAGAAGGCTACCATGGACCCCTGCCGAAAACAACGATTTCGCCGAGTCTAGGAGAATATGCAACAGTGTACCTGAACTAATAGCCATACAACACTGTATAAGAGAAATATTAAATCAGGCAAAACTATTGCCATCTACTCTGATAGCCAAGCACCTCTAAAGGCAATTTTCTCAGGACCATCAACTTCTTTATTTGGATATGAACCAGTATTATTCCGATGGATCATTTTATTGAATGTTGAATCTCAATACATCATCAGAGAAATTTACTTATTATCAGTGTATTATGAATTATTTTAAATAAGCAACTACATTTTAAAAACTAAACATACATTCATAGTAATAAAACTGGGAATAAATTTATCAAACCAATTTTAGTTTTCCAATAAACTTACCCTGTCAAGTTGTGGTGAATCGTAACCGCAAAGTGTAAATAAAAATATTGCACAACTTTCTTGGACCGTTGAATTATCCGAGCAAAATTGTTTAGCTATTTCTGATATGAGCCAAGAATGCCCTAAAAATTCATGAATATGAAACAAGTCGGCGGCAAGCTGAAACAAAACAAACATAAATATTGTTTATGCATGAAAACGTTTAATTAATGAAAACCACATACTTTGATTTTCTTTTACTATACGGAGAATGGTCGCACTGCACAGCTTTCTGAGTGCCTTTTAAAAGAAGATAGAAAACTCCGCCATTTTGATCCCTTATTACGTGTTGCCTACATCTTGGCGCAATATTTTTAATAGGTGCGTTTTTATCATCCGCTTCTGCTTCGGAATTGTCGCTTTTTTGTTTTAATCTGACAGGTTAAAACGACTAAACTGACAATTCCGGAAGCAGAAGCGGAGGATTAAAACGCACCTGATATTTTGCTTGCTGCCGTCAGTGTCAGTGAATATTATTTTTGGAGTCACAGTTTATTGCTAAAGAATCAGTTAGCTCACTCGGACCAGTTGAAAATTCCAAAATAACATCCACTTCAGGGATACAAATTCAAGATACGCAGAAGACTGCTGTTTTATTATAGGCGGTTGTCATATATTGTATTATCCGAGTTGCGCAGTGTATAAACTGGAACATTGAGATCAAAAGTGCCGACGCAGAGTGAGCGATCTGATTCTTTAGCTATAAACTGTGGCATAAGAATCAAAATGGCCGCGCCCTATGTTGGGCGTGTCGGACCTCTCTTTAGCACTGTATAGTAAAGAAAATCAAAGTATGTGATGAAAACTCTACATCACATTGTTATATTGTAACTTTTGTGAAGGGGTGTGAAATTCTTGAAATTCAAAACTACCAATTCACAACAGCATCAACATGTATCTTCAACAGTTGTTCTTTTTTAACTGGTTCACTTTGCAAGAAACAATATTTACAGGAATAAAACACCGGATTAAAATTTAAAATTAACGTTAAGACGTTAAGAAAACCTTTTATTTTTTTTTTAAATAAAAGGCTCATGAATTTTAAGAATTTTCATCTCGGGGAGGACATGGCTCCTGTCCTAAAAATCATAACAATAATACATGCTATCTGGGGGTCGATTCTCGACTTGTAGGAACCTTTTCCTATAGGAATTTGTGACACTTTCCTATATGTAGGAAAATGTCATAAATTTTCGATGTACATAAAAATGTCAAAAATTCCTATAGGAAAATATTCCTACAAGTCGAGAATCGACCCCCTGGTATCTAATATAAGTTATGTAGATTCATAGACATAATATTATTATTTTCATCTTAGAGATAGATTTGTTTTTACACTGTCTTAATAATCCAAATGTTTTGTCCGAATCATTAGATCTTTTTAGTTTATATGATGTGTTAAAGAAAATATGTTTTTTTAAAGAAATCCATATTTATTTAAAATAGAAGCAATAAAATAATATAAAATCGAAAAAGTAAATTTAAAAAAGGAAAATTCATTATTAGCATTCATTTTTTATTTAAATATACGATAGTTTCCAAAAAATGCTGTAATGTAAGCCAACAGGTAGGTAAAACGATAATGTTGGTGGGAAATATCATTCTACATTTTTAACAAAAATTATTGATAATTCTTACCTTTATGATATCCATATACTTCCCCATAAATCTTGGTATAGGCGAAGATAAATGTTTCATGAAAGCTACAGGTGCTAAGGCAGACATCAAAGCTATTTTGTCGTTGTATTCTGGTCTTAAAGCGGTCATAGCGAAAAATTGAGTTGTACCTTGCGAGTGTCCAACGTAGAAAATTTTTTCTTGACCAGTTTGTTCGATAATGTAATCTATTTTGGCTGGTAGATCGTAATATCCACATGTTTCGAAACTACATGAAATAACAATTAAAGTATCTACAGGTTTATTCAGGTATATTTAAACATTGTGATAATAGAGAGATGAAATATGGCAGTACTGTTTTATATGTTTTATGTGATTCACGTTATCTTTGACTTTGTAGTTAAATGTTTTAATCCTAGCTATAAGTTTACTTTGCATCTTGTAAAGATGATTGATAGTTTAAAATGTTTGTTGCATTACCTATAATCCCAAAATTTGGCGTCAATATCTGGATCTAGGGTTACGTGTTGTCTGGACCAGGTATTTCCCCGATTATTTCCCAACCACACGTCAAATCCAGCATCAGCTAGGACCAATCCAAGTGATTTATTCGGTCCCATGAAAACGAAATCCATGGCGCTACTAAGTATTCCATGCATTAACAAAATAGCAGGTTTGTTTTTGCTATCAGCAAAATTACCGTGTCTGCTGGAGATACGTTGCATCCTTAGAACATAACCATCTTCAGTTTGGACCCAATGAGTTTGCGTCGGGTAGTTGTATTTGTACAAGAAATTGTACTGAAAGACAAATAATTCTCTAAGAAGTTTGGCGCTATAGGTCAGTTTTTGTTAAGATATCGGTATGTGCTCATAAATATTATCAATATTGTTTTCATAATAGTAAATTTTATAAATACTCACTATATCTAGACCATAGTCTTCGTGTACAATAATGTTTTTAAACTGATCTGCATATTCTTCAAAAGCATCTTCGTATTCTTCACAAAGAACTGTTAATGACAGTAACAAAACTATTCCAACTTTTAAGATGTACATGTTTTACTTAAATATTGAATTTTAATTAAAAAATATCACTATCAGTATTATGATATATGTAATCTAATATATAAGATATCTGGAGTACTTGAAGATTATTTGTATTCGTGATTTTTATTAATGTAATTTATCTTTACAAAAACATACCACATATTCCTTAGACCAAAATAAGTCGATTTAAGTAAAATTACCTTTGTACAAAGTTGCTTCGTTTGGGCTCCAGAGGGCCTTGAAGTTACAATTTTTAAATCGTTTTTCCCATATAAATTTAAAACGGCATATGCGATTTTGCTGAAATTTGGTATATTGGTAGAGTTTTATGTGGCAAAAAAAATGGTATTAAAATGTTGTCCGATAATAATACATAGGCGTAGAACTTGATTTTTTAAATAATTGCACCTTTAAAAATTCTACGCCAATGGAAGAAAAGGAGTTTAAGTATGAAATTTAGATTGCGCAACTTATTTACTTTAAAAAAGGTACTCTTGATAAGACTCGATTACTCTCATGGTTTTGACGAAATTTGCATTTTAGTAATTTTAGAACATAAACAATAATTATTAAAATACAAACTTTGTCAAAACCATGAGAGTAAATCGAGTGTTATCAAGGGTACTTTTTTGTAGTAAATGAGTACCCAATCCAAATTTCAGGTGCAATTATTTAAAAAATCAAGTTCTACGCCTATGTATTATTATCGGACAAAATTTTATACGATGAAAAACATAAAAATGTACTTTTTTCATATCTTCTTCAACACCTCTAATCGAGACTTTTAACAAAAATACTCGATTCTTGGCATGTAGGTACGATGTTTTGAGGAATATTAATTATTTGCCTGCAATACGTATACAAAAACATTTATTGTTGGTTTCCATAGTTTCATCTAAATAAAAATATTGTCAAGTTTTAACACCTAATCTCTTGTTAACGATTGAAAGTGTTCTATCTGACTCAATAATTAAAAAAACAAATGCGTGGTTTATTAATATGGCTGTACAATATACCAATGCAGAATATACCGATATCTTACTGACATTAGGATTTTGTGAAGGAAATGCTCGAGAGAGTGTCAAGGTGTACTCTGAAAGGTTTCCAAATCGTCGTGTACCTAGCCACCCAACTTTTGCTGCTGTTGAGAGACGTCTTCGGGAGACCGGCTCCTTTGCTCCCAACACTGTTGATAATGGAAGAGAACGTTTTGCAAGGATTCCTGAAGTTGAAGAAGACATCTTATAACGTGTTGAAGAAGACCCAGAATTAAGCACCAGACGAATTGGAAGGGAACTAGGAGTAAGTAAAGATATCGTTCATAAAGTACTTAGAGAACAATTGGTATATCCATACCAATAGAAGCCAGTAGAAGAATTATTAGTCCATAATCCTCAAATTCGTTTGGGTTTTTGTCGATTTGTTAATATGTAAAGAGAAAGAGATCCAAACTTTGTCAAGAAGGTTCTCTTTACCGATGAAGCGGGTTTTACAAGAAGAGGTATAACTAATACCCATAATGAACATGTTTATGCCGTTGAAAATCCGCATGCAATAAAGGTAAACCATTTTCAGCACGAATTCAAAATTAATGTGTGGACTGGATTAATTGGTAATTTCATTGTTGGTCCTGTCATACTTCCACGAAGATTAACTGGAGAAAATTATTTGGATTTTCTACAAAATACGTTGCCAGAATTGTTAGAAGATTTACCTCTCCAACTTCGGAGAGATATGTGGTTTATGCAAGATGGAGCTCCACCACATTTTTCTTTAAACGTTAGAAACCACTTGAATGAATAATATCCACACAAATGGATAGGCAGAGGTAATGACGCACCTGTAAACTGGCCACCATGTTCCCCAGACCTAACACCGATGGATTACTTTTTATGGGGATATCTGAAATCCACAGTTTACAGGGAACCTGTAGAAAATGAGGAACAACTCTGGCAACGTATTCAAGATGCAATAAACAATCTTAGAGGTGATGAAGAAGTTATGGAAAGGATACATTTTAATTTTCTTCGACGTATAAATCTTTGTATGCGTGAAAATGGTGAACATTTTGAACAATTTTTGTAAAATCTCTATTTTGATTATGTTGTAAATAAATATTTTTGTGAAACCTATACACTCTAAATTATTAAAACAAAAATTTAGCGAAAACCATGAGAGAAATCGAGTCTTATCAAGAGTACCTTTTTTAAAGTAAATGAGTTGCGCAATCTAAATTTCATACTCAAACTCCTTTTCTTCCATTGGCGTAGAATTTTAAAGGTGCAATTATTTAAAAAATCAAGTTCTACGCCTATGTATTATTATCATCGGACAAAATTTTAATACCAATTTTTTTGCCACATAAAACTCTACCAATATACCAAATTTCAGCAAAATCGCAAATGCCGTTTTAACTTTATATGGGAAAAACGATTTACAAATTGTAACTTCAAGGCCCTCTGGAGCCCAAACGAAGCAACTTTGTACTAAGGTAATTTTACTTAAATCGACGTATTTTGGTCTAAGGAATATGTGGTATGTTTTTGTAAAGACCTTTTACAGACACCCTGTATATTATATGCCATTCAGTTTTAAATTGTTCTATGTATAATACTGATTGATATTATTTCATGATATCGCTTCTGATGTATTAGAAAATAATATAACTATAAAAATTCGATAAATTTATCAGCTATATTATAATAATTTTGGCCGGATATTGTTCAAAAGGCGGGTTACATTATATCTCCTCACACTCCTTCGAATTACTGAAGTGGCAAAAACGGACAAACAGTGTACTTTTTAATTTGATGAATAAAATAATAAGAAAGTAGGAACGTTTGTGATTTTTTAATATTAATGGATAGCCCATGTCCATGAGTAATAAAGTAATTATTAAATGCTTAGAAATAAGTGCTATCAATATAGAATGTACACATACACACCTATAATCCTTGATAATCAATTCTTCATCAGAATTTTTAATGTTAACTGTTATTATTTTTACATTTCAAATTTTATTATCACATAAATAACTAATTAGACATTACCTAATGGCAACGAAATAATATATTTTTTGTTGATTCTTCTCAACACCATTTATTGGAGAAGAGTTTTTAAGGGGATAATGGGGTCTTCTGTAATAATTCCTTTATATTTAACGGCCTTTAAAAATATTGGCGGCCTTTAAAATATTTTCGTATTCGTTAATTTACTTCTGTCATTACTTAAACAGATTTCTTTAAGATAGTTCTTTAATGTATTTTAAAGATCCGTTTAAATAATGACAGAAGTAAAGAAGAAAATATTTTTAAAGGCTGTTAAATATAAAGGATTGTTACAGAATAGACCCCAATAAAAGGCAAAAATAAAAATTATTTTTTCTCTGCTGTTTAATTTATGATAATTAGCACCTACGTAACATTTTATTACCCATAATTTCCCAACTGAATTGGAGGTGCTGATTGATTACTAATATTGCCTCTACCTTTCTCGTTTTTTATCAATAATTTAATAATTTTAACCACATGCTTCGATGATAATTTATGTTCGAATTAGATTTAAATAACATTTTTATAGACTTGCAGGTATAATAATTGCCGTTGTGATAAATTTCATGATTATTATTTTTTAATTTATTAGAGAAAAAAATAAACTGTGCACTTTGTCTGGAACGAATTAAAAAAAATATATTTTGCACGTTTATTTTTTTAATAGTATAATCGAGTTTTTCAGATCAAAATACACGGAATCAAATATTTTCAAGATTTAATGGAATAGACAGAACGTTAGCAACATAGTTAAACAAGTGGCTACAAAAAACTTGTCAATGAAAACAAAGAAGTTAGTTCATCACCTATTGTCACGAGAGAATGCGACAATATTATCGAATTAAATAAAAACTTTAGTTATTATAATAAAAAAGTTTTAAAATTTTGTACCAAAACATTCAAAGCATAAATAAAAATTTAGATGAGTACAAGATTTATTTGCATCAAATAACTTTAGACTTTGAAATAATTGTCTTGACAGAAACCTTTAAAATTCTGGATATAAATTGTCATAAAATTAATAATTATAATGTAATGTATAGTGAGGGATCTTTCAATAAAAACGACGGAGTGGTGGTATACGTTAAAAAAGGCTTAGAATATACATATAGAAATGTAGATATTGCATACTGTAGGGTTGTAGAGGTGAAGGTTGAAGTTGATAGGAACAAATACGTGTTAATCACATCAATATATAGGTCTCCTGCTGGCGATAAAGAGACTTTCATCAATTCCTTGCGCTTATATCTGGAACAAACCAATAACTTTTTAGTACAACAACACTATCTGGTTGGAGATATAAATATAGATGTCTCAAAAGGAGAACAAAATGAAATTGTAAGTGAATATTTGAATTTAATGAGTGAATTTAATTTTGTATCATTAATAAATGCTACAACAAATGAACAGGGTGATTCTACTAGCTGTATAGATCATATATTTTTAAAAACTAAACAAGATATACCAAATACTAGTTTCTCTTTTATTTGTAAAACTGGTGTAAATAATCATAGAAGTACAGTTGGTGGCGCTTTTATAGAACACGAAGACACTCCTGATGTGGTGAAAAACAAATATAATTTTTTTATTAATTATCAAAAACTAAGAAAGATATTGTTGATACAATTTGGGTAAAAAAATTCTAAAAATAATCTACAAAAAACCAATTTTATACTCCACAGATTTACTTTTTAAAGAAAGTCACGTGTTAGACCTAAGAAAACTGTACCTCTACAATCTTCTAATATATACCAATAAGCACAAACAAATATTAAAAAACATAGAGCACAGCTATGACACAAAACAAAAATCAAATAAATTAGTAATCACTAATTACGCTAATAAATCAATAGGCCAAATGTGCTATACATACCTCTCCTTAAAAACTTTTAATAATCTACCAGAATTCTACAAAACTCTTTTAATAACCTTAAACAATTTTAATTTATTTAAAAAATACTTCAAATCCTTCATATTTCAATTAGATAGTT